GTCTGCAATGGACAGCTGCAGGGCATTGTGTCCTGGGGCATTGGATGTGCCCGCAAAGGCTACCCCGGAGTTTACACCAAGGTTTGCAATTACGTCTCCTGGATCCGATCCACTATGTCCGCCAACTGAGACACTCTCACTCCATGTGACCTGCTTTTTCTCATCATCCTTTCCTCTCTTTTGGTTCTGAACATACAAACAGTATGAAAAATAATAAAGACTTTCAGGCACCCCCTACTTTGTGCAGTGTTTCCCTGGGAACTTCCCTAGGCTGTGATCATGAGACAGAGGCAGTGAATGTCACTCTGGGGAACGTGGGGAATAGCTGTAGTGCCTCTCAAGAGGCAGGATCATAGAACACCTTGCAGACTATCTACAGCAGTCTTCCATTCAGTTAGTTACTTGCAGGCATTTCTGGATGAAAACATCTTTCCTGTCCTCTTGAAAAGGACAAGCAAGTGCCCATATACACACAGCTCTTGAAGACATTCTGAAATCCATCCTCCAACATTGCCTTTTCCCGTCCTTGCACTGAAAACACAAAGAGCTGCAGCATGGCATCCTTTCTTGGAGCCTGCTTATAGCACAGCAGGGAGGACTGGAAGAGGGAAGAGGGTAGTGGTTTTTGAGGAGGCAGGGCATTGAAGCAGAGACTTTGGATCTCTGGTATGGAAGAGCTGGTCCTTGCCAGGAGACTGGTGGGGTTGTCTTGTTCTGTGCTTGCAGAGCCCCAGAAGGAGGCCATTGCCATCCCAAATCCCAAGAAGGAAAGAAGTTCAGGAGAGAGAAAGGTGGAAAGTGAGAATGGAAGGTAGCAAAGTTACAAGAGGGAGTGACATAACATACATCAGAGTGTTCAGGTCACAGGGTTGTGGTGTGACTTGGGTACCTGGGTTCACAGCAGTGTGAGGATTCCCTGGACATCAGTGGGACCAGGGGACCAGTCAGCCCTGTCCTTCCAGCTGGGGAGAAGGAAAAGGCTGTGTGAACTTTTCCTCATTGTGCTTTCCCTGGAGTTTGTGTAGCAGACTGAAAGGAAGAAGAAATGGATGAGGATGAAGGAAATAGGAGGGGAACAGGAGGGAGAGGACAGAGAAGAAAGGTTGGGAGGACAGACAGAAACACATTCAAGGAAAAGCATGAGAAGCAGCCTGTGAAGGGCGGAGAAAGGAGATGAGGCAGGGAGTACAAGAAGAAAGGAGAGTCAAAACGTGATTCCGAGATGGGAAGGAAGAGGAAAGAAGTTAGAGACCATGCAGAAGACAGAGAGGCAATACCACCCCTTTCCTAAAAATCTGGAGGGCAAGTGGAGAAATTGGGTTACTGTCAAATACATGGCTCTGTGTGTACTGGTGGCAGATCCCTGTTGGCATGCAAAGGTTTGTGCTTTGTTGTTCCATCTTTTGAGTCACTGTGATTCTTGTTCAGCACAGAAATATGTGCCTGTGTCATTGAGTAGGGCATGATCTATCTTCATAGATAAACGTTTGCCCTTAGTCCCACTGCTCTGGATGTGATTTTGGAATTCCTTCTCAATATCTGCTTTGCCACCTTCCAATGAGTATACAACCAACTGCAGAGAGGCATCCTTCACCGCAGGCAACTTGTACCAGGACATAATAGTGACTACATTTAATGTTCCAGAACAGCTGAGAGTCACAGGGTCTCCCACTTGGATGATCGTATCTGGTGACTGCTCAACAGCCCAGCCTGGAAAGAGAAGGGAAGAAATGTGGGAAGTGAAATGCATTGAAGAGGACACAAAAATATAGCCTTGAAGTGTGTCATGGGATTCAGTGGTAACTCGATGTGAGAATGCTGTGGGACAGTGTCCTGTTTCTCTGAAAAAGGACATATTGGAGGAAAGAAATAAACAAACTAACTAACTAACAAACAGCTTCCAAAACAAATGTGTGTTTTGAAAAATCATGACTTCAGGACTCTCAATTGAAGTATTAAAATGGGACAGAAAACCCCCCCCGAATTTGTAGGGCTGCAAAATATTTTAAGAAGTTGAGGAAAAGTTCACCTTATTCATTCCCCATTCCCATCTGGAAGCCTTGGGAAAAGGGCATTACCAGCAAATGAGCACCTCGCTGAAGCAGCAGCTGGGGCTCCAGTGCAGATGTTCAAGGGGAAGGGAAGCTCACTTACCCAGAGGAGCCAGGATGGCCACAAGGAACCAGTGGAAATCCATAGGAAAAGGGCACCTCCTTCCAGCAACCTGCTCCTGATGACAGCACAGACACAGAGATGAGTACAGAGGAAAGGCTGAGAGGAAGAGATACATCTCTTTGTGGGTGGGCAGGGGAGTGGGAGGGAGACGGAAATGTGAGAAGGCAGTTGTCTGTCTGGGAACAGTGGGGAATGACACCTGCACGCAGTCATGAGGTGCATGTCCTCTGCTCCACGGACTTCCTGCTCTGTGTGTGTGTGTGTGTGTGTGTGTGTGCATG